CCTGCATTTGTTATGCAGAAAAAAGAGGTGGAGGAGAAAATTCCCTGGGTTTTCTCCCCCCTCATGTTCCTGAGTCTCCAGGAGAGAGTTCTCCATCCCTGGTCAGGTCAGAAATATGGGATCTACTTGCTCCTTCAATTCCATCTCTTGCTCCTTCATCTGTCACCGGGAACTTCTTGCAGGAAATAATAATAATACTGAGAATAATCTTAGCCAACGTTTACTTGGAGTTTATAATGACTCAAGGACTGATCCAAATGCTTTCCATGTATTTCCTCATTTAAACCTCACCACAACATAAGAGGCTGGTACTATATATCTCCATTGTACAAGTGAAGACCCTGAAGCTCTGAAAGATGAAGGGAATTGCCCAGGTAACATGACAATCACAGGTGGAGCCAGGGTTTAACACAGGTATATCTAACACCAAAGCCTCTTGTCCCAAGCAGTGATTCTCAAAGTACTGCCTCCAGACCTACGATATCATCATCACCTGGCACTTGGTCCTAAATGCACACTCTTGGGCCCCACCCCAGACTTGCTAACCCTGAAATCTATGCTTCAATAAGACCTCTAGGAGATTCTACTGCTCGCTAATGTTTGAGAACCACTAGTGTAAATGAATATGGAGTAGGAGGTGGAACCCACTCTCTTCTCCTGCCCCTGGTCCTCCTTCATCAGCAGCCTTCCCGCCACTTACCCGAGCACCTCCAAATGTTCTGCGGGTCCGCACCAACACATAGTGGCAGGTCTTGCACCCAGGACTTCCCAGTATTTTCACTGTGTCCTCCTCCCTGGGGCACTGCAAGTTCTCATCTAGGGTACCTGGGTCCGACTCCATGGCCTCTTCATCCTCAAAGGCATCTTGGCAGCTGGAAGCCTCCACCTGCTCTCCTTCAGATTGAATCGTCTCCTCAGTCAGGACTGACTCTCCCTCGCGCCCCCCAGAGCCTTCCAGATCCTGGCTCAGGTCTGCCTGTGACTCTTGGCTGCCAGGATAGGGGGCATCATTCCCTGGAAGAACAGGTAACCTGCCATCATGTCAGGGATCCCCCTTCTTCTGGAACCACGAACAGCTCTGACCGCCCCACTAAAGCTTTCCTAGTGCCTCCTTCTGGAGCCTAGGCCTAAGGATCTCCTCCCTGTGGGGTGAGCACCTGGTGCTGGCTGACAGGTGTGTATTTCGAGGTAGGAAAAAGCACCTCTGAGAAGATGGGTGTGTTTTGCTTCAGCA